GAGGCTGGGGGACGGCAGGTGCGTGGGTGATGAGAGGCCCTAGAGGAGGCCCTGCCACCTGACGGGCTGTGACTCTTTCCAGAAAGCTGTGCCAGAGGAGGTGGAGCATCGCCTGGGGGGGCCTGCAGGTGCCCTCGTGGAAGCAGCTCTTCCTCACCCACACCAGGCGCGAGCACTGCATGATGCGGGCCCGGCGGCAGGACTTTGCCTACAAGGAGTCCACGGACAGCTTTGGTAGGAGCGTGGGCACTGCAGGTCACGTGTTGGAGGAAGGGCACTGGTTTTGGTGTGTGCGCACGCGCTCATTCAGCGAAGAGGCAGGGAATGAAGATGTAACGGGCCTGGGCTGCTGTGATGACAAGCTCTGGCCCCAGCTTCCAGCCGTGTCCCCTGTGGCCTCTGCTGCTCGGAGAAGCCAGAGCGATCTTTGCGCAACACAAACCTGAGCCCGGGACGCCCTTGTCCCAGAGGCTTCCCAGCCCGCCTAGAATACACATTTTAAAGGCAAAGGAAACATTTATTTATTTTTCATTGATTTCAGAGAGGAAGGAAGAGGGAGAGAGAAACTTCAATGATGAAAATCATTGATCAGCTGCCTCCTGCATGCCCCCCACGGGGTATCGAGCCTGCAATCTGGGCATGTACCCTTGACCGGAATTGAACCCAGGACCCTTCAGTCTGCAGGCCAATGCTCTATCCACTGAGCCAAACCAGCCAGGGCTAAAGGAAAAGGAAACATTTAAATAATAGTTCAAATGCTCACTTTATTTTTTGGTACCTCTTTTAAAATTCAGAACAGTTCTCTGATGCAGTAGTTTTAAAAAAAAATATTTTAAAATTAATTTCAGAGAGGAAGGGAGAGGGAGAGAGGAAAAAAAATCTATGAAGAAAATCATTGATCAGCTGCTTCCTGCTCCCCACTATGGGGATCGAGTCCCCACCCTTGGCATGTGCCCTTGACTGGGAATCAAACTGTAATCTCCTGGTTCATAGGCCAATGCTCAAACACTGAGCCATGCCATCCGGGCATCTGATAAAGTGAGTTTTATCCCCATTTTATATCTGTGGAAACTGAGATTAACCAGGAGAAACAAATCGGCCAACATCTCCCCAGTAGTCCGGTTTGAATGAATCTGAAGCCCAATTTCCATCCTATCCTCCAATAAAGTTGGCAAACAACTCAAAATTATTGCTCCAGCCCTATCTGGTTTGGCTCAGTGGATAGAGAGTTGGCCTGTGGACTGAAGGGTCCCAGGTTCCATTCCAGTCAAGGGCATGTATCTTGGTTGCAGGCACATCCCCAGTGTGTGCAAGAGGCAGCTGATCGATGTGTCTCTCTCACCGATGTTTCTCTCTCTCCCTTTCCCTTCTTCTCTGTAAAAAAAAAAAAAAAAAATCAATAAAATATATTTTTTAAAAAATGATTGTTCCAGAATTCTTTATTCAGTTGGATCCTTCCACAAGAATCTGGCGGCCAAGTGTTGTCTGTGTTGCCTTCCAGGACTCTTGAAGCCTTTGGCGTATTTCTCAGGAAGTGACCCCTCCATGGGTGATCAAAAGCCAATTGTTTGCACGGTGTCTTCCAAGTGCATGCTCTGCGCCTGGGACGTGCAGGAGGTGAGTGGCATCGAGTCCACAGGTAACACCTACCCGTGGCCACCCTGTCCCGTAGGCGGAGCCAGTGCCGGGAGAAAGATGCTGCTCCATTGGTAGCAGCAACAGTTTCCAGTTAAGTCTTTTAACTGGTATCCTGCCACCTTTTCATGTAGCAAAGTGGTTGTCAAAGTCATTAGTCAACAGAGCCAAATAGCAACAGTACAACCATTGACATTTTTTTGGAGAGCCACATTGTTTACACTTAAACTTCTACCGCCACTTCTTCAACATAGACTCGCCCAGGCCGTGGTATTTTGTGGAAGAGCCACACTCAAGGGGCCAAAGAGCCGCAGGTGGCTTGCGAGCCACAGTTTGCCAACCACCGATTTAGACTATAGCATGTAGAGAATTCACTTTTTAATTTTTTTATCCTCACCCAAAGATATTTTTCTCATTGATTTTTTTTTAAAGAGAGCGTGGGAGGGAAGAGAGGAGAGAGAGAGAGAGAGAGAGGGAGAGAGAGAAAGAGAAATATCGATGTGAGAGAGACAGATCAATTGTTTGCCCCCTGCAAGGCCCCCGACCAGGGCCCGGGCCAGGGAGAAGCCTGCAACCGAGGTACGTGCCCTGAACCAGAATCGAACCTGGGAACCTTCAGTCTGCAGGCCAATACTCTATCCACTGAGCCAAACCTGGTAGGGCTTCATAATTCCTTTTTTATGTTCACCAGCCCTCAAAGAGCGGAGATGTATAGCAGAATTTTCTGAATTCTATTCCCAGACAAAAATACACCTGGTTTGGAGGAAGCTCCCACATAGGCACTGCAGGAGGCATGCCTGCACGTGTGTAGAGTCCCCGCACGCAGACGGCATCACTCTTGTTCCCAGGGCTTCATGATCTGGTGCAGCCCCGCCCAGCCATCCAGCATCAAGTGCCTGGCCACCCTGCCGCAGAAGTCGCTTGTGTTCACGGGGGATGCACTGGGAACCATCAAAGTGTGGAACTGTCAGGATGAGGACCCTCTGGCGACGCTCTCCTTGCCCTCAAGCTGCACTTCCATGGAGGTCTTCCTCACAGATGATGACCGCCCGGTCCTGATGGTGAGTGAGCCCCGCGTCTGGAGGGGCCACGGCGCCCATAGCGCCCGTTCCTTGGCAGGTGTTGGGCCCCAGGATGGCCACCTCTCAACCTGCCCTCTTCTTTCTCTTTTTTTTTTCCCTTTCTTTTTTAAAAAAAAATGTATTTTATTGATTTTTATAGAAAGGAAGGGAAAGAGATAGAAACATCAATGAGAGAGAAACTTCAATCAGCTGCCTCCTGGGAATGTGCCCACAACCAAAGTACATGTCCTTGACCAGAATTAAAACCGGGACCCTTCAGTCTGCAGGCCAACACTCTGTCCACTGAGCCAAACTGGTCTCGGCTGAGCATGTTTTCATATGCCTCTTGGCCTTCCTTATGTCTTCTTTCAAGAAGTGTCTATTAAGGTCCGTTGCCCATTTTTTGATTGGGTTGTTTATCTTCCTTTTGTTAAGTTGTATGACTGCCCTCTTGTTTTTTAAAAAAATATTTTTATTGATTTCAGAGAGGAAGGGAGAGGGAGAAAGGTAGACACGTCAATGATGAGAGAGAATCATGGATCAGCTGCCTCCTGCATGCCCCACACTAGGGATAGAGCCCACAAGCCGGGCATGTGCCCTGACGGGATCAAACCATGACCTCTTGTTCATAGGTTAATGTTAACTGCTGAGCCACACTGGTCGGGCCTTTTTATGTTGTTGTTTATCCTCACCTGAGGATATTTTTCCATTTTTAGAGAGAGTGAGAAGGAAACATCGATGTGAGAAAGACACATCGATTGGTTGCTGCCTGCATGTGCCCCAACCTGTCTTCTTGAAGCATCTCTATCATCACATCCTCTGAGAGTCACAATACATCAATAAATAGTGGCCATAGCAACCTTCATGCTATCTTGGCCTTTGTTATGCCTCAGGTACACTTCCTCAGTAATTCTTCTAAAAGGAAAACACCAACCCTCTTGAATTATTTTCTATCTCGTTTCTTCTTTCAAGTGTGTCTTATTGTAGAGGACATGAACTTGGACAGGGATATCATGTAGGGAGAGTCGTGGGTTCGGGGAGACATGGGGGAAAAGGAAGAGTGTTGATGTGCTTCAGGGCTTAGAACATTCTATTCCTTGGGATCATCCCAGTGACCTTGTGGGGCAGGCTCATCAGAGGAGTTCATCTCCACTCTGTGATTGAAGAAATGGTGGCCCTGTCCTAGCTGGTGTGGCTCAATGGATAGAGCACCAGCCTTTGGACTAGAGGTTTTGATTCTGGTCAAGGGCACATACCTCGTTGCTGGCTCCATCCCCAGTGTAAGGCATGCAGGAGGCAGCCAATCCATGATTCTCTCTCATCATTGATGTTTCTCTCTCACACTCTTCCTTCCTCTCTGAAATCAACAAAAATACAGTTAAAAAAAGAAAAAAAGAAACTGTGGCACCGCCCCCTAGCTGCCAGGGCTGCCTCCCGTTTGCCCTAGGGTTTCACATCCCCTTCCATTGACATGGTGGTGGGTGGTGCTTTGGTTTCAGATCGGTGACTCTGAAGGGGACATCCACACACTGACGGTGCCCGAGTTACAGATTGTTTCTTGCGTGAATGCGTTTGAATGCCCTGTGTTCTGTCTGTCCTGCTCTCCCAACAAGAAGTGGATCTTTGCCTCTGGGACCCACGAGTTCACATTGCCAAAGGTAGGGGCTTCCCCGGGTGTCCCAGCCTTGGGAGGAGGGGGTCTGGGTTAGGAGGCTGGAGGCAGGAAGCATCAGCCAGCAGGCAGAGCTCAGTGAGGACCGGTCGGACCGCCCCTCCTCTGAAAGCCACAGAACATGTGGCCTCCATCCCTAGAGCCTAGAAACACTGCCCTGGAGAGTGACAGCATCCATTTGCAGAGACAAATGTTTGAGAGTGAACATTGGTGCATGGACCTGGGCCAGCCAGAGAGATGGGAGAGGGCGAGAGAGAGACCAAGAAGTAGGATCTGGATGGCTTTGGCCGTCCTTCCGTGACGCTTAGCTGCCTCGGCTGGACAGCCCAGAAGAGCAGCGCACCAGCCACTGAATGTCACTGAGAAGCTGTATGTGAACAGGCCATGTTTTTATTTTATTTTTTAATCCTCACCCGAGGATATTTTTCTATTGATTTTTAGAGAGAGTGGAAGAGAGAGGGAGGGGCAGAGAGAAGCATCGATGTGAGAGAAACACATGGATTGGATGCCTCTCTGCCCGGGGCCCCCACAGCCCACAACCGAGGTCCATGCCCTTGACTGGAATGGAACCTGGGATCCTTCAGTCCAAAGACCAATGCTCTATCCACTGAGCCACACCAACCAGGGTGAACAGGTCCTTTTACATGGCGCATGTGCTTGGGCACCAGAGGGTAAGGAACTCGGGGAGGCAGCAGCACAGGCTGATCGGCCCTTGACACATCCTCAAGAAGGGAGATCCTACTCGGCCCGCTGCAACCTGACTGGGGATTGGGAGTCCAGTGTGGCTGTATTGGAACGCAAGGGAAGCTTAGGGGACTCTCTGTGTGTGACCATGACAACAGGATAGGAAGACAGTGAGTGACAAGCAATGACTATGCAAGGCTTCCTGAGACTCAGAATAAAGCTTTGGAGGATTTAAAAAAAATTGATTTCAGAGAGGAAGGGGGGGGGGAGAGAAACATCAATGATGAGAGAGAATCATGGATCAGCTGCCTCCTGCACGTCCCCTTACTGGGGATGGAGCCCCCAGCCTTGGTATGTGCCCTTGACCAGAATCAAACCCGGGACCCTTCAGTCCGCAGGCTGACACTCTATCCATTGAAGCACACCGGCCGGGGCCCCAGTGGAAAATCTGTAAGGAGGATTTCCTGGTGTTGCTCCCCCTTCTCCTGACTACACGTGCACTGGTCTCTCCACAGGTGTTTTACACGGACAGCTTACTGAGCCCATCCTTCGGCACGCATGCTCTGTTCGTCACTTTCCTGATGACATTTTGCACCCGAGTCTCCTGGGCCCTGAAGCGCGCAAACAGGCTGACAGTCATGTTGCGAAAAGACTTTTTCGGAAGGGTAGAGTTCTCCACCCTTGATATCACAGTCGAGAGCCCTGGGGGCAGCACCACCGTCAGCGGTAGGCTAAGCTGCCTTGTCCCTCCTGCCAATCACACTCACACTCATGCTAGGCTATAGACGTCTGTAAATAGGCCAACCTCAGGACAGGGCTGTGCCTGTCTGGCTGTTGAAAAACCCCCACAAAACACCCACATTTTTATTGGTTTCAGAGAGGAAGGGAAGAGGAAAGACACATAGAAACATCAATGATGAGAGAGAATCATGGATCAGCTGCCTCCTGCACGCCCCCTACTGGGGATCCAGCCCGGGCATGTACCCTGACTGGGAATCGAACTGTGACCTCCTGGTTCATAGGTGGATGCTCAATCCCTGAGCCAGGTCAGCTGGCACCTGTTTGACTCTTAATGCCCATGCTTTTGACCTCTGTCCTCCCCCCCTCCCCTCCCCTCCGTGCCCTTTTGGGAAAACATGCTTTAATTCCCATCATGCTTTAGGACTTAAATTCCACTGCTCCTTCTCTCTGGCCTGAACTGTCATTAATTGTGTACAGCCCTCCCTTCCCGTGTGATTGCACCGACCTCAATCAGTGGCACACATTTTTGGGCCACTGGCCGACCCTTCACTTTCCTCCCTGGACTGAAGTCCCCTGGAAGTAGGGAGTATATTTTTTCTTTTTAAATTTTTTTTATTGATTTCAGAGAGGAAGGGAGAGGGAGAGAGAGAGATAGAAACATCCATGATGAGAGAGAATCATGGATTGGCTGCCTCCTGCACACCCCATGCTGGGGATCAAGCCCACAAATAGAGTGTGTGCCCTGATTGGGAATCAAACCATGACCACCTGGTTCATAGGTTGACACTCAATCCTGAGCCATGCAGGCCGGAGAGTCTAATTTTTCGTTCAGGGTAATGATGTGGTTCTGACTACATATCCCCAAATCTGGCTGATCATGTGTGTGTATGTTTTACATGAAAACAGGCCATGAGATTGCAAGCTTCATCCTGACAGATAATATAGATGCTCCGCAATGCATGGGAGTCTGTGATGGAACCACAGTTGTCTTTGATAGCGGGCCACACCTGCTTCTCGTCACCATCGATGGCTACCTGCTGCAAAAATTTAACCACCACCAGAATATCATCTGCTCTTTATGGATGGTACGTATGACCTTCTCCTCCCAGCACTCAGGCTCCAACGTGGATGCTGGGCCACTCGCCCTGGGTCTCCTTTGCAGGACCCTGTCCACGTCCTCACCACATCCATGGATAACTACCTGCACCTGTACATGTGGGACGAGGGAGCCTTTCTCCCGCGCCTTCAGAGCTGCTGTCACCTGGAGCAGAGAAAGGATGACATGAGGCCGAACTGGTAAGCCCTGCTTTCTAACTTAAACTCTCCCTGACAATTTTCAATGTCTACATTAAACAGATTAATAAAGTGTTACTATGGTAAAAAAAAAAAAAAAAAAAAAAAAAAGATTCTTTGCCTTGACCGATTTGGCTCAGTGGATAGAGTCTGTCAGCCTGGGAACTGAAGGGTCCCGGATTTGATTCCTGGTCAGGGCACATGCCCAGGTTGAAGGGTGGATCCCAGTTAGGGGGTGTGCAGGAGGCAGCTGATCAGTGATTCTCTCTCACCATAGGTTTTTCTATCTCTCTCTCCTTCTCCTTTCCTCTCTGAAGTTAATAAAAATATATTTAAGAATATTCTTTGGGGATATACACTGTTGCCAGATTATTATGATCTCTGAATACAGACTAATCTGGCCACTCAGTATATATATTAGAGGCCCGGTGCATGAATTCGTGCATGGGTGGGGTCTGGCCAGCCTGGCCAGGGGGAGGGGATATGGGCAGTTGGCCAGCCAGCCTGTTGATCCAATTCCTGGTTGAGGGGACAATTTGCATATTAGCCTTTTATTATACAGGATATACACTGAGTGGCCAGGTTATTATGCATTCAGAGATCATTATAATCTGGCCACTCAGTGTATATGACTAGACTTAAGCCCCCAAACAGAATTGCTTCTTCTTGGAGTCCACATCTTTTGCAATAGATTTCAAAGGACTTTCCAAAATGGCTCTCAGTTTATGTTCCTGCAAGTGCTGTGTGAAGATTCAGCCTTGATGTCCCATCTTTACTTGTAAGGTTCTTGTTTGTATTAGTTCATTAGTCATTTGAGTTGCTTCTTTTATTAACTGCCTTTATCTTTATTTTACTTAGTTGTTCTAGATTGCTTGCCTTCATCTACATTGTTTTCCTTTTTTCCTTTTTAGAGAGAGTGTAAGGGAAGGAGGGAGGTGGGATGGGAGAGAGAGAAAGAACAAGAGAAAGAAATGTCAATATGAAAGAGACACATCATGTCTATATGTCTCAATTTATTTAGATCTTCTTTGGTTGACTCTTGGAGGTGCTCCAATCCAGGCCAAGAATGGAACCTGCAACCCAAGTACATACCCTTGACTGGGAATCAAACCCATGACCCTTAGTGTGTGGGCTGACACTCTAACCACTGTCTGAGCAATAATTGGCATAAGTTTGCCAGGTTTACAGTTACTCAAAACCAAATCTAAAAGTAACTTCTGTGATCAAAGGAGCAGTTGATTTGAAGAGAATATTTATGTCTTTGTCAGATTCAAATTTAGTGTCGTCAACACTAGACCAACTTTCCCTTTCATCCACTTGAGGATGTTCTTTTGTCTTTTGGCAGCGATTACCCCATAGCGATTTGTGACAACACAAGCATAGTGTGTGTGGTGTCAAAGAGTGGCAGAGCCAGCTTCCTGGTGATGTATTCTTTGAACATGTGATACAGAAATGAATGCAGTTCATCTGGCATTGACTTCCTCGTTATAATAAAGAGAATTCTATTTGCAAACCCAGATTGATTCTTTTAGTGATATTAAAAAACCCAGCAGTAATTTATAACGAATCAGAGGGTGGAGAAATATCCTTTGCTCATGCAATCAGGGAGAGAGTAAAATACTAACGTAGCAGAATGTGAGTGATCACACAAAAACACAATTCCAGACAATTCTACAGAAGCATCTTCTAGGGGAAAGCGTGGGTTTAGGTTGAGGCTGGTTTAAAAAGGGAAGGAATGCCCTAACAAGTGTGGCTCAGTGGATGGAGCATTGGCCTGCGGACTGAAGGGTCCCAGGTTCTATTCCAGTCAAGGGCATGTACCTTGGTTGTGGGCACATCCCCAGTAGGGGGTATGCAAGAGGCAGTTTATCTATTGCTTCTCTCTACCCCCCTCCCTTCCTCTCTGTAAAAAATCAATAAAAAATATTTTTAAAAAAGGGAAGGCACCTGTGTCAGGTAGTCAGTGTTCTTGCCTGTAAGGAACCAAAACAAAATCCTGTAAAACTTAAGCCAAAGGAGATGTATTAGAAAAATACAGAGGTTCATATTGAAACATAGCTAGAAGAGACTCAGGATATACATGGTAATAAAAATGCTCCAAAGGAGTGAGAAATGGAAAATACATCAAAGTCTCAGTCACACGAATGTGCATATCCCCAGAGCCCTTGTAATGGATATGATAAAGAACTGCCCCCATCCTGTATCATTAGCTCAGGATTTTGAGCTCTGGGAGCAAGTCCTATCCAATGAAGCCTAAAACACAAGGGCCTACTCTCCTGACTTTGTGGGGAGGGGAGGGTTGGAAGAAAGATGATCTGAGAGGTTATAGATAGTAGTGTAATGGAAATGTAATCTCCACGGGAGATTTCTCCAAAGAGCCGTGTGGGTGTCGAAGTTAAGTGCCTACCATCCCCTCTCTGTAGAAACAAGTTTGAAGCTGTGACCAGGAGGATAGGGGAAGGAACACCCACTTGAAGGTGGGTCTATGCAGAAGGGACCTGAGATGCATTGTAATCAGTCCCCAGTCTGATTGATTCAGAATCAAAGGACGTCTATGTGGCTGGAGTCAGTGATGGGGAATAGACACAAAGACAAGGTGGAATGTCAAAGTGTCAATTCAGAAATTCACAGGATGTAACTCAAATATTTAATACATATTAAGTTCAATGTAAGATTATTTTATTTTGTAGCAAAGGAGAAAAAAGACCTATATTTTTTAGACCTGCTTTTTTAAGAAGTCTTTTTCATTGCTATTTAGAAAATTGATTTAAAAGTAGTCACAGAGCCCTGGCCTGTGTGGCTCCGTTTGTTGTGTGTTGTCCCATACACTAAAAGGTCACTGATGCAATTCCCTCAGGGCGCATGCCTACTTTTTTTAACTGCTCCATCGCTAGTCAGGGTGTGTGATAGGCAGCCGATGGATGTTTCTCTCCCTCTTCCTTCCTCTTTCTAAAATAAAAGTATTCATAGTGACTGAAGAGAGCCAGTTGAACCATTTTCTTTTTTAAAAATAGATTTTTATTGATTTCAGAGAGGAAGGGAGAGGGAGATAGAAACATCAATGATGAGAACCATGGATTGTCTGCCCCTGCACACCCTCTACTGGGGATGGAGCCTGAAACCTAGGCATGTGCCCTGATTGGGAATCAAATCGTGACCTCCTGGTTCATAGGTTGAAGCTCAACTCCTGAGCCACTTGAGCTGGGCAAGATCTGTGCATTTTATTGAATGTATCGAATCCAAGGTCAGTATTCCTCATTCTTTATATCTCTCAACCTAGTATCCCATTCCTTGCCATCTGCTCTCTCCTAAAACCCCTTAGTACACCTTAGTACATGCAAATCGCAGTCATTATGACATCCTAATTTCCTAAAGAAAGAGGGCTGGAAACTAATATTTAGGCAGGCAGCAGTTTCTGGAGGATTCCTAAGAATCCTGTTTAGTGTCCCAATAGAATGGCTGTGCAGGATTCAGGATAAAGTGATGTATACTGAGTGGCCAGATTATTATGATCTCTGAACACATAATAATAATCTGGCCACTCAGTGTGTGTGTGTGTGTGTGTGTGTGTGTGTGTGTGTGTGTGTATATATATATATATATATATATATATATATATATATATATATATGAGGCCTGGTGCATGAATTCGTGCATGGATGGGGTCCAGCCAGCCTAGACAGGGGGAGGGGACATGGGCAGTTGGCCGGCCTACCTGTTGGTCGAACTCCTGGTCAAGGGGACAATTTGCATATTAGCCTTTTATTATATATCATATACACTGAGTGGCCAGATTATAATGAGTTCAGAGATCATCATAATCTGGCCATTCAGTGTGTATCTTTTGAGCTGGGAAACATGAACATGTGTATCAGTATGTTGGAGTTTTATTGATTTGTCTACTGTTAGCAGTACCCGGTCTTTTCCATGGTTTGAGATAATGCAGAGGCAGCTTGGGTCAGTGTTTGAAAAATGCAGATTATACTGTTGGTGATAAATGCCAGTACAATGTTGAAGAGTAGTGAGTGCAGACATTCTTGCCTTATTCCTGATCTTAGAGGGAACATATTATCTTTGACCCTTAAATATGTTAGCTGCAGGTTTTCCATAGATGTCCTTTATTGAGTTCAGGAAGTTCTAAGTTTGCTGAGCATTGTTATCAGGAATGGATATTGAATTGTGTAAAATGCTTTTTAAAAAATAATATTTGTATTGATTTCAGAGTAAGGGAGAGGGAGAGATAGGAACATCAATGATAGAGAATCATTGTTCCGCTGCCTTCTGCACGTCCCACCCTGGGGACCAAGCCCAAAACCCGAGCTTATGCCCTGACCTGGAATAGAACCATAATCTCCTGGTTCATGGATTGACAATCACTGAGCCACACCAGCCGGGCTATTTCTTCCTGAATGTGCTTTGGTAGTTTGTGTGTCTTGAGAAATTTACCCATTTCATCTTTATTGTCAAAATCACTGGCATAGTCTTATGTATATAAAAGCCTAAGTGGGCAGATGCTCAATGCAGGAGCTGCCCCCTGGTGGTCAGTGCACTCCCACAGCCAACCTCCCTCGGTCCCTCCCCCGAGCTGGCTGGCCAACCTCCTGTGGTCCCTAACCCGAGCCGACTGCCCTGTTTGGCCCCAATTGCTGGCTAGGCCGAGGGACCTCACCTGTGCATGAATTTGTGCACTGAGCCTCTAGTTTGTTTATAACATTCATATATATATATATATATATATATATATATATATATATATATATATATTTTATTTATTTATTTATTTATTTTTTTGATTGATTTCAGAAAGGGAGGAAACATCAGTGATCAGAATCATTGATTGGCTGACTCCTGCATGCCCCCCCCCCATTGGGAATTGAGCCCTGGACCAGAACAAACCAGGGACCGCTCAGTCCACAGGCTGCAGCTCCATCCACCGAGCCAAACCGACTATGGCTCTCAAATCTTTTTAATATTTGTAGAATCTGTAGCAATGTCATTTCTCTCATTTTAAATATTAGTAATTTGTTCTATGCCTAGTTATATGGCTTAAAACAACACAAATTTATTCCCTTATAATCCTAGAAGTCAGAAGTGTAAAGTCATGGTGTAGGCAGGGCTGGATTATTCTGGATACTTTAGAGAATTAGTTTTCTGGACTTGTTTAGTTTCTAGAAGCCATCTGCATTCCTTGACTCATGCCCTCTTAGCACAACTTCAACCTCCCACTGAAAAAATAGACATAAGTATAAACCCAAAGCTCTTGTTGGCTAGGACAGGGTGTATTTGTAGCTTCAGTTGTCCAACATTTTACCTAATGATTTACTGAATCAAAAGCAATCTATTAATGGAAGGAGGTGGGAGCGAGGGAGAAAGGGGAAATACTTTTTAAAAATTTTCATTAGTGATTTCTCAAATGATCTTTGGCAAGTTCAGTTTTTAAACATAATGAAAATGTGTATGATGGCCTTGAAGTCCCATGATATTACACAACCCCTATCACATTAATATACTCACATGACTCCAAATAGAATGAATATTGTAAAGGTGCATATTCAAGTGATGGCTGATCTAAGCCTTTTGAACTTTGTAACTGTAGACAGGATCCATTTCTCTGGTACTTTTAATTTTTATTTTATTTTTTAAAATTTTATTTTATTTTTTCCCATCACCTTTTATCCCTTCTGTGCCCTCTTCCATCTCCACCCACTCCCTGGTGATTTTTTAAATGATAAGCCTACGGTTTTGTCTGATCAGCCTAATGAACCCATGATTTCTGGTAGAGTCTAAGCCCTCAGAGTTCTCTTGGCCCCTGATATTGACATGAATCATGAATTTGTATTTCTAAACATTAACCCCCTCCTCCTTCCCTTCCCCACACCATCTGTTTGATTTAGTAACATTCTTTAACTATAACAAGCACATATGTAAGATTTTCTAGAACCCATTCACGAACATAAAAAATAAGCACACTGACAGCAGTTAGCAGTTTTCATAATTTAATGAAAAAGTATTGATAAAAAGGTGACACTTGAAAAAAGACCGAGTTTATCTTGGAAAGCTGGACTACTATATAAGACAAAAATGAAAGAAAAAATGAACAAAAAAGGTTAAGAGGTAATACTTCAAACAACAGCAAAATGTAGCAAATACATTTTGGGGCAATTGAAATTTACACAACTGAAGGCTCCTTCATTTGCTTAGGAAAATCCTGTAAAAATATTACAACTATATTTCCCTGACTGAAATGATTTTAGTTAATACTCTCCCAATGGCATTGTGTATGGGCTTTTGGCTGAAGCACTTTTTCTGTGTTTGCTTTCCTTCCACGCTCTCATCAGTAAGAGGTATGATGAGACGCAGGCTGCTGTAAGGCCTCTAACAGAAGGAGTTTGACACAGCTCCACTGTCATGTCATTGCCCAGAAAGGGTCAAATCAGCATCCACCCAGGAGAACCGAAGAAAAAAGGCGTGCAGACACCTAGTGCACAAATAGGAGAGATTCTATTCCTCCTTTGGACAATTCGTAGCTCTTTCCATTCAAACAAAAATACAGGACACCTCCCATACATGCTAGGGCATGTTCATACATGTACACAGGCACAAAAGAAACACGTTGAAGGTATGACCAAAGATTGGGCAAAATACAGAAGTTTTCAGCAAACGAAGCAAAAACAAATGCAAAGACAACCATTAACAAGGCTACGAGAACAAAGGCGGGGAGAGGAAGCTGGCATTCCCTGTGTTGAGGGCCCTGCCTGCCTGCCTGCCTGCCTGGCACCTACTCCAGCGGGATTTCCTTCACTGTGGAAACTCTACAGCGCCTCTCGTGTCTGGAAATTCCCATTACACTTCCCCACACTAGAAGAAAGAGAATATTAAGTTAAGGCTAAGAAGAGAGAGCAGAGGATTAGAGTTGGCTTCACATTTTGAAAATTGTAATGTTTTCTCTTCCTTCAGATGGGAAGCAGACACGCTTATCCCTCCCCCGATGCGATTCTTCTCTTTCTCCCAGAAATGAGTGAAGGCTGATAGTTTGGGAACACGACATAAGCAACTTCTGAAAAATGGCTCCGGCCCTTTTGTGTAGGAAACGGATTCCGATTCCAAGTTGGTACAAAGCTAAATTATACCCATGTGTTAAACACATGCTCTCAAATTGTCTGACAATAAAAATCTGTTTCAAAATTAAAGCAGGTAAGCATACTTAACCTCTGTGCACTCTTTTATATTTTAACTATACCTCAATAAAATTTTTATAAACATTAAAGCAGGTATACAAAAACTATCAGCCAACCTTATGGAAGTCAAATTCACTTGAAAACAGTAACACAAGACCCCTGACCTGGTCCAGATCCCCCAGAGACGGTCTCGCTGCGGGGAAGGCTCTGGGGTCTCCCGCACACACAGAATCCGAGCATCTTCCTCAGAAGTAGTACTTTTGTAAACACTATCCACAAGTTAGCTTCTCACGCTTGTTAGCTGGGTGAGATGGTTACAAGTGTGTCCCCCCGACAAGCAGGTATGGGGACAGGCACTGGACACGAAGACGAGTTAGTAGTAGTGAACTGGTCAGTTAAGGTCCCCTGAAAGGGGCTCAACCATGTGCAGAGCACAGGAAGAGGGCAGTGGCTTTGACAGTATCTGAGATGTTGGTCCCTGGTCTTTCCCTGAGGGTTTTCAGATGCCAGTCGAGTTAGAAACCTCCCACAGACAGGAGCTCTGCTAGCCACGCTGTGGCTTCAAAGGATAAGTGGTTTTAGTGTCTGATCATCGCCGTCTCTTGCAAACGTATTAACAACACGAGAATTCTTAACACATATGCACATCTACGTGTAGAAATAACTGGAAAGCCGCCTCAAAGTATTTACCAAATAAATACTCTGGGCCCAGCTGTTCTCAATAGTCTCTGGCACAACAACTCTGGGGCAATCTGCAGTTCTCCTAATGTCTTATGCAAACTAGACTTGAAAATGGTTCAGAACGATTAACTGTGGAAACGTTTGTATTCATTCCACCCAAATGCCTTCCCAACATGTGCCAGAATCCTTGTGGTGTGTGGGGTTTCTAGGACACACGAGGCGAAGGCATGGATGGAGCTGTTCCTGGAAGTTGAGTCACCTGTGCGATGAGCTGTGGGAGAAGGGGTGTAGCTTCTTCCTTTTCCCACGGCAATCCCGCTTAGCGTCGCGGGGCTGCTTCTCCCTGCCTGAGCCCTCTCTCTTGACCCTGACCTTCTCTTTATCCCCGTCACCTTCTGCTTCTGAATCGCTCAGCTCCAGGTCTGGGCAGTACCCATCGTTTTCCTGATCGGGAGCCCTCTCTGCGGAGCGCCGGGCCAGCAGCTTGCCCCGGGCCTGCTCCCGGGGGCTAGCACTCTTGGGGGGCTTCCCGCGGCTCTGGAGGCCGTCCGCGGTCCGCACCCACCAGGTGGCGGACTCCTTAGGGGACTGGCGGAAGTGTTCCGCGGGAGGTTTCCGGAAGCTGCCCTGACTGGCCAGGTGGGGGCTGAGCTCGGCCTCCTGGCCACATGACATCTCACTGGAGCTGTCTTTCGGGGAGCTATCCCCGGACCAGCTGCTCTCCAGGCCATTGGCTTTGGCAAGCATGGAGTGCGAGTGCTTTTCCCCATTTCCCATTAGGGACTGTCCATGCAGGGCAGCTTGGAGGACCAGGGGCTTCCCCAGTGACTGCCCCTGGTAGGCCTCTGGAGAGGGAGCCGTCCAGGCCGGACTGGAATCCTCTGATTCGTGCGAGTGCTTTTCCCCATTTCCCATTAGGGACTGTCCATGCAGGGCAGCTTGGAGGACCAGGGGCTTCCCCAGTGACTGCCCCTGGTAGGCCTCTGGAGAGGAAGCCGTCCAGGCCGGACTGGGATCCTCTGATTCGCCCCTAGCAAGGCCCAGACTGCTCGGCAAACACTGGTTGCTGCTCTCTACTGCGTGCCTCGGGTGGGATTCCACTCTCATCTCTAGTGACTCCGGAGGCACTGGCGCGCTCCCCAGGCTGTGGGCAGGGGAGCTGCTGGCAGGAGAGAGGGGTCCATGATCAGTCTCTGCGGAGCTGTTTCGGCAGTCTTCCGGGGCTGATCTGGGCATTTTTAACTTTAAGGTAATTCTCGGTGGTGGGTAAAACAATGAGGTTTCTAGTGCATTTTTCAAAGGAGATCCTGAGATCAAAAAGAAAGATTCATTTTAACAACGGATTCAAACAACGGCATACATGCCCACAGCAGAGTGCATTCACATATGCATTTTCCAAACGTCCGACCAACACCTGACTCTGACAGGATGGACACCATGGCCTCGTAGCAGGAGGGAGCTGGCCCAGAGCTGGGGTGGGGGAGGGGAACTTAGCAACCTCACCTGCTCTCACCGCCTGGAAAATGGCACAGGGACTAGCGTGCTGCCTCCTCATCCCACCAGTGCCCTCTCCGTTTCTGACCAGAAGGCACTAGCGATGGCCACAAGCAGGGTCCCTTTTTTCTGTCTGCACGTGTGTGCCTGTGTGTGGGCACTGTGCAGAACTTAGCATGTGCCTTAAACATTTCAGATGCCACCCTCCAGTCTCCTGGCTGTTTTGAGGCAGGTCAAACACTAACCCTCGGGAACACAGCACAGGCGTTGGTGGGTGAAGAATACACGAGTGCAGGTTTTAACATAGCACCAACAGAAATGGTAATGGTGGGTCCTATGTATTGTATGTCCTGGCAGGAAAGCATCATGACATCCCTGCCAATGGCTGCAATAAGCTTAGTCTGGGGAGTGCTGGCAGTCAGTCCCCAGGTTATGCCATGTGCAGTCACATGTAGGACAGGTGATCCTCTGTCCGGAAATGGAGCACTACCGGACAACTCCTTCTTGAGTAGGGACTTGACTTTGCCTACTGCCATCTTAATGCAGCCTCACAAAACTGTCACATGGAGAGGACAGCTGTTAGGCGCCCCAATGGGTAGAATCTGTCTCCTAAGGGCTCATTTGAATACTCACAGCCCCTTCTCTACCAGGGGCTGCCGCCTCTGATGCCACAAGCAGTTATGGGGCTGGCTCCCACCAATCAGAAGCCACATGTCTAGGGACCAATAGCATGTAGCATGCAGGGGCTCCTCTCTGCTGCTGTCTTTGGTTCTTCTTGTCTTGTCTGTCACGTGCTCTTGTGGCTGAGAAGCCTGTTGCTTCCTGCTACACCATCCTGTTGTGACCCATGACACTAAAAAATACCCCGAGCCCTGATGCCCACCTGACACCTAATTTCTGGGCATTTCTCTTGCTCTACGGATGGGTTCTGCACACTCTGCTCAGTGACCCCTGCTTGCCCAAGCTCCGCCACCAACTTCTGTGTTACATGAAGTCTGGAGGCTACACATGTCACTGAACATGACTCGTCATTCCAGCCAAGCTCCCAAGTCTAGGGCACTGTCATGATCGCCAGTCTCTCTGGTTCATGGGCAGCGCGCCCTGAAGCAGGGACTCTGTCTCAATGGTTATCTTCTAGCTCAGCTTAGTCCACAGCAGGTGCTCAACAACTACAGCGGTTGGCAAAAGTAGGCTTACCGTTGTGAGTGTGCAAAACCGAATTTATTCTTATATTATGTATTAATTATTGTATTCTTTATTATTGACCTACTTTTGCCTACCCCTGTATCAGCGAATAAGTAAAGAGATAGGAACCCGGATCTCCTAACTTCTAGCTAAGTGTTTGTTTTAACAGACTATTGTTTTGAAGGCTAACACCGGAGTGAAATGTTTTCTGGAAACTAGGGTTAAATATTGTCCTCTGGATTTCTAAATAAATCCAATAATTACAAAATAATTTCATGGCTCCATCTAATGGCTCCTAATATCTGGGTGGGACCTAGATTACCTGCCTTAGATATGCAACTCCTTCAGCCGCACCCTGGGATTTGCTGTCTTGAGGTGACAGCTAAACAGGCCATGCTATGTCAGGTTGGACTAGAACAAATGAGATCCTGGACAAGAATTTTAAAAGATTTTTTAAGTGAAACAATGGACATACAGTTTGAACTGTTGAAATGGGATGCAACCAGATCTGTGCATTTTCTAGAATATCTTTGAGTTACTCGTTACCTTCGGCTGCTTCCTCGTTAAGCATCTGGACTTGTAAGCCGAAGATCTGCTCTTGTGTTTTGTTTTGTGACAGCTTCAGCTTCTCTCGTCTGGTTATCATGTAGCACAGATTGCGGACCTGCAAGCCCAACCCCCAGCAAGAAGAGATCTTTGTTACGCGATGCAAATCTGACCATTAAAGTTGTTTAGCTAAAATTCAGACAACTAAAGCCAGATGGGCTGGCGGTGAGTGGGGGAAGGGAAAGAAGATGGTGAGGAGAGAAGACGCAGCCCAGAAGCTGCACGAGAGAGAGAGAGGCACTCCACAGCCATGCACACACACAGCCAGCCACGGGATCCCGGTTCCCGTGTCAGTCAGCAGCACAAGCAAACGTTCCCGAGCCGCCTCCGGAACCCTCCTCCCCATGCCGGTCCTGGGCTCGATGCTTATCTGCACACTCAGGTGGGAAGACTGAACGGTGACTTCACATTTCAGCCTTCCCTTTGGGTGCCTGCGTGAGCAGGGGCAATACCGGGCCCAGTGCAATTTCCCAGTGAGCGCTGGGCCGGCAGGAGAGAGGCCTGCTAGGACACCGGAAGTGGCCTCTGCTCACAGCTCTAAGGGGAAATCCTCATGGGTCATGCTCCCACCCGGACTAAATACTCAACCTTCTGCACCCCAACTTATGCATCAGTAAGCAGGGATAACAACTTTCTTCATAGGCATGTTAGGACTACATGACTTAATATTCACACGCAGCAAGTGCTATAAATGTGAGTGACAATTTAAAGTGAGGCAACTATATTGGTTTCCTTCCAAATTCTGGGAGCAGAGAAAAAACCAAGCCATCTCTATAATTATCCAGGACTAGAGGCCCGATGTAGGAAGTTCGTGCAAGATAGGCCTTCCGCCGAAACCGGTTTGGCTCAATGGATAGAGCGTCGGACTGCGGACTGAAAGATCCAGGGTTCGATTCCGGTAAAGGGCATGTACCTTGGTTGCAGGCACATCCCCAGTAGGGGGTGTGCAAGAGGCAGCTGATCGATGACCCTCTCTCCTTGATATTTCTAACTCTCTATCTCTCTCCCTTCCTCTCTGTACAAAATCAATAAAATATATTTAAAAAAAAAAAGATAGGCCTTCCTTCCCCCGCTGCCGGCACCGGTTTCCCTCTGGCACCCGGACCCGGGCTTCCCTCGCAGCCCTGGCTTCGTCCGGAAGGATGTCCGGTCTAATTAGCATATTACTTTCATTATTATAGATTATAAAATTCTCTAGGGTAAACACACAGCCTAGCTTATGTTCGAACCCCTGTAGTACCGACTTAGTAGCTACCTGATATATACACATCCTGAGTTAAATGGAATTATGTGGACCCATTTTTGGTTGTCGCAGCTGGGAATGGGGGTTGCTACTAGCATCTAGCGGGCAGAGAGCAGGGATTCTGCTGAGCATCTTACAGTGGCTGCCACAACAAAGGACAGTCCCCTGCAACAAAGAATTATCTAGCACAAATGTCAACAGTGCCGAGTTCGAGAAACTCTGATCGAGCGCTTTCCTGGCCCAAATTCCTTCTTTCTTAGGCAGCTTCAGTCTTCCTAAGTGTGGCAGTAAAACATAACTGAGCCAAATGAGGCTCAATGGTGAGTAAAAAGTGAACCAAATGGGGATGTATTTCAGATTTCACAGAGGATTTAAGTTAGGGCTAATTCCCCGAACGTGCCTGCCAAAAATGTAAACAGAGTCCAATGTCGGGGCCACAGCGAAATCAGAATACCAGGACACAGCAGCCCACACCTGGAAGTGGGACCCCATTCTAGGCGGACGGTCCCCTTACCCGCTCCAGGTCCTGCCGCAGGTGCATGAACATGCTCATGCGCGACTGCATATTCTCCGCCTTCGGCTGCGGTAAGCCCTTCTCCTCATCCTCCTTCGGCGGAAAGAGCGGCTTATTGAAGTTGCTCTTGCGTTTCAGCTTCCAGTAGTTGTAGATCAGGTCCACCGTGAGGGTGGGCATGCCCAGCTCCGTGGCCACGTCCGACACCTTGACCAGGTTATAGAACTCCTCCTCCAGCTCCTGCAGCTTCTGCGCGCGCGCGCTGGTCTTCTCGCTCGGGGCCTGGCCCTGCTCCTCGGCCCAGCAGAGGGGGGACTGGGCGTCGCTGGGCTTCTGCTGGCTCTGGCTGTGCTTGAGGCAGAACGACCTGAATCTCACTTCGTCGTCCTCGCCCAGGATGGTCTTCATCTCCAGGTTGTGCTCGAAGGCGCAGGTGACGTGGAAGGCGGTGATGCATGTCTTCACGGAGCACTGCGGGGGGGGGGGAGGAGGGTGTTCAGGCAGCCGGGCTGAGGGGGGAGCCCTGCACCCCTGGGGCTACACTGAGACCCCCTGGGAAGCAAAGGGAAGGCGGGGGAAGCTGGTCCTACATGGATCAGGAGAGGCCCTGGAAGTGCCCCAGAAGTCTGCGGTTATGGAAAAGGGCAAACACAGAGGCAAACAACCAACACCCTCAAATCCCAACTCCTCCTTACGGCTTAACGCGGCACTGAGTTTGTCTGAGACATGTTCCTTGGCCCCTGTAGAGTCATGCTATGCCTAGTCTGTCTCCCACATTACCACATGCTATGCTTCTATGATGGTACTTTTGCCCGGCTGGCACGGCTCAGGGGTTGAGCATTTACCTATGAACCAGGAGGTCACGAGTCGGTTTCCGGTCAGGGCACAGGCCCAGGTTGTGGGCTTGATGCCCAGTGTTGGGGCCTGCAGGAGGCAGCCGATCCATGATTCTCTCTCATCGTTGATGTCTCTCTCTCCCTTCCTCTCCGAAATCAATCAGTATATTTTGTAATGGTACTTCCACACTAAACCCACAGGACAATAACTGTTAACAGGAGGCTGTCCCTGGGAGAGAGAATCTGGGGTGGGGGTTGGCGTTAGCCCGCTCCACCACTTCTCGTGGGGACTCACCTGAATGCACGCTCCTGTCTTCACTTTGCATAAGTAACAGACTAAGCCCCAGCGGCTGGGTGGGATGTGGGAGATCTTTGTGATCGGTTCCATCCGTTCAGGGCAGCCAATGCTGACCTACAAGTGAAATACCACCATGAGGTATTCCCATGGCACCTTCCACGAAGCACAAATGATGCTACGTGAAGCTCAGAACATCGACACAGTGAGGCGAGCCATGTCTCTTAAGGTTACTGTGGAACAAGAGTAAATAAAACCTGTCTCTGGTCACTGCTCAGACCTTCAATCATTTCCAGAATGGAAGTGGTTTATGTATAGAATGAAAGGGCGGAGTGAAGACTAGGCTTGGCTACTTTAGGGAATCAGATGTCTATAGTTTACTTAGGAATCCAAGAAAGTTACCAAGGAAAGGAATATAAATCCACAAAATCTAGCAGCTATCATGATAGAGACGGTGCCACAGGCTTTGCTTTTTTCCATTTAATCCACTGAGGATGAAACCCAGAGGCAGCAACAAGCCCTTCAGTGTGGCTTACAAAGAAGCATGCCCTGCTGGAAGGTAGCAGTAATTTGTATAATGAAGAGATTGTAGCACAAAAGTAAAAAGGATAAGGATAATACCATTTGCAGACTAAAGTCTTTCAAATCACACATCTATCATTAGCTTACTTCACTCCCTCTGGAAGTCTTACCTCCGGAATCCACAGGGCACAGCTGACATGAGCCCACTTAGTCCCCGTCTTGGTGGACTTCATGGCTCCACCTTTCTTTGGGCAAAATATGCATTGCGCAGGCACGCCCACGACACAGGCGCGGCACAGCCAGCTGCCTTCTGGCACCTTGAGGATGCCGTAGCAAGCCTGGGGAGAGCAGGACAGGGGAGAGTGGTTAGCATCGTCTCACGTCTCACCGGGGTCTGTGTCTGCTCTCTGGTACAGTTACGAAGGACCCTCCCCCTTTAGGAAGAAGAGGCAATAAGACCAAAACAGCTCATATCCAGAGTTCAGTCATTTTAAAACACTCAGGGGAAAGGAGACTTCTAGCATCTGTCCTAGGATCAGCATGTCCGTGCGCGGGGACTGACTTTGAGGACAACAGAATAAGACTCGGAGGAAACACAAGCAAGGCTAGCCCAACTGTTCTCTGAGTGTGGGAATTACATATATTTTTTTCTTTTTTGCCCCAGTTTTCTAAAGCTTCCTCAATGATTATTATAGTTGGTCAGTCATATTTATGGAATAACTTCTACATGCCATGCAGTGTTGTGATCAAGAGAAAAGTATGAAGCCCTGACTGGTGTGGCTCAGTGGGTAGAGCGTCAGCCTGTGGACTGAAGGGTTCGGGTTTGATTCCAGTCAAGGGCACGTACTTAGGTTGTGGGTACATCCCCAGTAGGAGGTGTGCGAGGCAGCTGATTGATGTTACTCTCTCATCGATGTTTCTAACTCTCTGTCCCTCTCCCTTCCTCTCTGTAAAAATCAATAAAATATATTTTTTAAAAAGAAAAAAGTATTAAAAATAATTACAGTGGAAGTTCTGAGGAGCAAATGAGCTGATGTGTAAAGGGCTAACAGTGCCTGGTGCATAAACACACTCGGCACATTGTAGCAATTACTTGCTTGGGTTGAAGAAAAGGGCCTTGTGAATAAATCCGGAATTGAATATAATATTCGACCAATCACAATACTCCATAATGAGTTCTGGAAGCTGCTTCAAATTCTTTATGGAATGAGATCGGACAAATAAATAGATGAATTACTGGGAGAGGAGGGAGATTAGTTTGGAAATTCTAGGTTTCCCTTTCGCTACCTGTGACTTTGCCCATCCTCCTCCTTACTGCTCTCCTCTCACCATTAGAGACCAAACCTGGGCCACCTGGCTTCCCGTGTGGGCTGGCACAGCCTGCTTCACCATGGTAGCTTCCAATCCTGCCTGCTCCAGGAGTTCACCCACAGCTCACACAGAAGTTAACAACCGTTACCATTGCGTCACACTCCCACCCAACTGGCCCTTTTCCAGACTCTCTATCCATATCACCATGCTTCCCAGCTTCCAGATCAAATCCTTAGACTCATATTATCCACCTTCCTTCATCTACTGTCCCTGGAGCTGGCTAGGCCACTCTACTGAGTGACCCTTAGACTCTGACCTTCCTTGCCATCCCCACCATAACTGCGCCATCCAAGTCAGCATAGCATGCGTGTCTACATTAATTTATTTCTGAATTATCTTCTGCTCCCTTCACACCTTCAACCCTTCCTCTGTTTGTCTGTCAGATTATTCTGATATGCTACTGGACAGCAATAAACCCTCTAGAAAGTCCTTCTGCTCTTACCCTCGCCCCCTCTAACCCAGAGGTTGGGCAAACTACTCAAGGCCCGTCTTGTAAAGCCAAACAAACTGAGAATAATTTTCATATTTTAAAAGGGATGTTTTTAAAAAACGTAACAGAAACTGTATTGGCCCTCCAAGTCTAGAATGTTTACTGTCTGACTCTTCAAAGAAAACATTCGCTGGACCCTGCTTTACGGCCCACTGCACCTCGCCTCTCAATCCGTGCCCTCTACTCTGTAGTTTCCCTCCCCAGATACGCGGTCTGTGTCACGTAATCTTCTCTACTTAGGCTATAATGCTCCATCTCCTCAGTGAGATTGGAAGGTCACTGGAGGTAGGTCCTTTTTTTAAAAAAATACATATTTTTTATTGATTTTGTACAGAGAGGAAGGGAGAGGGATAGAGAGCTAGAAACATCGATGAGAGAGAGTCATCGACCAGCTGCCTCTTGCACACCCCCCACTGGGGATCCGCCCGCAACCAAGGTACATGCCCTTGACCGGAATCGAACCCGGGACCCTTCAGTCCCCAAGCCGATGCTCCATCCACTGAGCCAAACCGGTCCCGGCTGGAGGTAGGTCCTTTACCATCCATTTATCTCAAATTCGCTCTCTCTCTATGCGAAGCCCGAGTCGGTGGTTTGGAAAAACAAATGAATTTAGCTCCAGAACTGAAGCTGGACTCCAACCAGGCTGCTCTCACCACAGCAGGGCACAGAGGGTTCTTCTCTTTGAAATCTTTCCTTTCTCTGAGGCCGGAAAGATCAACAGGAAAGTAAAGCAAGCTTCTTTCCATAAGCAGAGCCTCTTCCAGTGGAAGGAAGACCAAAAACCGACGCTGGTTCAGAACATCTTTATCCGCTGGCCATTCTATCCGGTAGAAAATCATTTACTGGACCTTGTGTACTCATGGTCACAGGATCACAGAAGCTTTTATGTCCTAGCAGTGGTCCTCAGCTTTTTCTAGACCACAAATGACGAAAGCTGTGGACTCTCTTGAGAAAATGGCACGTGCACATGAACCCATGTTTTCAATATAATTTCAGGGGCATAAACTCTGCCAAACACGATATACTAGTACGTGACAGATAGAAAAAAACTATGAGCATGTACCTTCAGGCAATTAATTTAGGTCTCAGTCTGAGTATTTAATACCTGGGCTGAGAAGCAGACAATGGAACACATAAAGGGACTTGGAATGATCTCAATTTTCATAGTTTTAATGAAAAAATTTCAAGTTCATTGCTAAACTCTGAAGTCTGTTGATGCAAATCTCTCTTCTAAAATACTGACCATAAGTGTATTATAGGTACAGAGGAACAAACACTTGACATAATATGGTGGCAGTAAAGAAGCAAAATTATGTTTACTAAATATAGCTGTTCGCGATTCTGTTGAGTAAAACTTCCAAATCACTCTAAATTACTTTTCCGTCACCAGAGGGAGCTCTAACCCAAATATAATAGCTCTTCAGCACTGAGAGAATATTCTCACTATGGAAGAATCTGTTTTATATGAAACTTCATGTGCACAATATCCAGCGTCCATGCGTACCAGCTTACACTCTGCAGGGCCTGGGCGGGTATTACTGTCATCTCTTTCTATGTGATGAAAAGGCATCATTTACAGTCATTACTGGATATATTTTCCAAACAAACAAAATACTCTCGAGGAGGATTATTATGCTCATTGCATTGTTAGTCAAAGAACTCCAAAACAATTCCTTAATATTTTATCCCAACTGGGAAGCACAGTCCGAAAATATGTAAAGATGACCTTTGCACTATCCCCTTTAAGCTCACTACAGATCCACAATCATTTATCTGAAAACCCCAAAGTGAGGAAAATTAGGAAATGCAGGACTGCTCAGATCTTAGGAAAGTAGTAGAGTACATACTTGGTATATTACTCCCCAGTGGGACCAGGGACAGTATCATATAACTAAATACATGAACCTTTCTCTAAAAATATATGGCTACACGAAATAAGTTAAAGACTATAAATAGCCTCATATTGGGTGACTTCTACTATTGCCCCTCCCTAAATTAGTTTTGGTGCCAAACTTAGGCAAAAAATTTCTACAGTTTCAGAGCTTTAAAATTCTGGAAATGCAGAGAAGGGACTGTGAACTTGTATGGTGAGACACTTAAGTTCATGCTTACATGGTAAAGATTTTCTCTCGAAGGGTGTAATATAAATAACAACAACTGGTAGAGATAAATTTTAAAATTCAGTATTCAAAGGACACAAGCAAAATGAAGAAAAAGACCCAATTGGTCACGGAATAACTTTGAGTACCTTCTAACACAGAAGGTTCGATATGGGTGCTGGAGGTGACTGAGCTCAGCAAGGCTGACCTCGGGAGGTGGCGGCCTCACTCTCACTGACCTGGTGCACACAGATGTTACACTTGTCACAGAACACCATGTCATTCCCGTCTTCACTGTCAGGAGACCGGCACACGTCACAGATCACATTTTCGTCATACTCTATGCCTAGCCCTTCCTCCGTGGCGATAGCATGTTTCATGTTTTCATGGCACTGACGTTCTAGGACTTCGACTGCCTTCTCCATCAGGTTTTCATCAATTTGCTCACATCCTGCACAGAAATACAAGCAATCAATCCACTCGCCAGCCAGCTGGCATTCCCAATCACCCACTGTGAGCCCGGTGCAGGGGTGAGGAGATGGCAAAGGATCATTTATGAGAGCTACTCCATTACTTACCTCTCTTCACATATATATTAGTGCTCAACACACGAAGGAGAAATGTATTTCACCATATTCCTTGTAAGAAATATTACTGACCCTTCTAAATTTTCTATCGAAATCCTAGCTAGTCTCTTCCTAAATCTCTCTGCCTTTTCTCCTATTTCCAGTGAGGGAGGACTTCCACTGAGCTTTGTAATTTTGAACGTGTTAACTTGTAGCATTAGAAAATAATTAGAGTCACATAACTATTTAGATATAATCAGCACTAGCAAATTAGTCCCAATGAGCACATCTAATGACTAAACAAGAACATTTTCATAAAAAAGGTATTAAGTCAGAAAAGAAAATTCTAGGTACTGTACATGTGATTATAGATATAATTCTCAAAAGGATCCAAACAAATTTACCCAAATACTGTACTTAATTTGTAATAGAAAATATCCTAAAAACCCTGAAATTCCACATAAACTACCTTTTAATATTGTAACTACTTATAAAATTAAAAAAAAAAAACCTACTCAGGTAGTTCATTTTTTTCAGCCAAGACCAATTACACTTTTTCCCCCTTGAGTGAAAGAGTTTGAGTGTCTGGTTATAAGAGCACTTGAATTCAAATTCCGACTTGACGGCATATTGGTTGTGTAAACTTTGACAAGCTATGTATCTTCTTGAGGGCTTAGTGTTCTTATCTGTAGAATAAAGATAATGTCAAACTCACTGATTTCTTGTGAGGCTGAGATGAAGTAATACTAATATCCTGCTTAGTATAGTGCCTGGTGGTCTGTAGTAAGCACTCAATTTTTAAAATTCCTTAATCTGAGCCAAAAAACGCTTAATTTAATGTTGTTTTCAAGAGTTTGTTTTAAGCTCTTATTAGCCTCACTACAATATCATTCACCCTAAAGGAATGCTTGAGATAAGGCAATTCTCCTTTAAATCTCATCCAAGCCTAATCACAGGGTGGTATCCTGCATGGGATGGATCCTGGGACAGAAAAGGGCCATTAGTAAAAAACCTGATGGAAATCCAACAAAGCCTGGAATTTAGTTAACAGCAATATACCTGTGCTAGTTTCTCAGCTTTGACAACTGACCATGGTGAGCGAGATGTTAACATTAGGGGAAATGGAAACTGTGTGAGGGGTACACAGTAACTGTATTAAATGTACAGCTTTTCTGTAAATCTAAAGCTATACCTAAATAAAAAAGCGTATTTAAACTAACTATCCAAAGGGAGTTTAAGTGCACAATCCCAAAGGGACCTTGTTACAGGGTGACGTCATGGCGAAGGCAGCACCGTAACGCTGTAATGTACATGGATGTTACATGGCCCATAAGCACCGCACATCGAGCTGTCCATCCATTGATTATGCCCTCCACTCTGATTTTCCCTGTCAGTCTTTTATTTCCTTCTCTTCATGGTCTCCACCCCAGATTCCCCTCCCCTCCTCTCAGAAGGCAGAGTAAGAAAAGACATAAAATGAAGAGTTTTAAGAAGCAAGGAGTAAGTGTTGGTTACTGGTAGAATAAGTAACACCGTTATGCCAAACTGGGTTAATACTGTTTTCATTTATTGTTCACATGCATTTGGAGGGAGGGAGGGAGGTAGGGAGGGAGGGAAGGAAGGAAGGAAGGAAGGAAGGAAGGAAGGAAGGAAGGAAGGAAGGAAGGAAAGAAGGAAGGAAGGGAGGAAGGGAGGAAGGGGGGAGGGAGGGAAGAAGGGAGGGAGAGAAGAGGATGAAGGGAAGAAAATGAACAAATGAGATGCCAACAAAAATGAAATCAAATGCATCCTTCACTGTACCTCACATGGAGGAATGAAAAAGCACCCACAGGACCTCTCGGACCTTAGGCACTGCTTGGGGTGAAGGCAGGTAAGAAAGGGTAAGAAAGAGTTGTATGTAAGTATGGAGGGAGCGTCCTCTCAGCCTAGTTTCCCAGAATTGCTGGGATGGCACAGTATGGCAGGCAGCCTCTCTAAAATCATTTTTATGCTTACTTCCAAGTTTTATTTTTGCTTCACTTTATTTTTGAGAATTGCATGAGAACTCTAGAACTCACTGGAGGTAGCTCACGTCTGTTCTGGCGAGTTTTGCCATAGGCCTGTCATTCTTATTCTGAGCAGCAGAATGACAAGATCTGGATTAAGGAGTCGTGGTCACATCAGACTGTCAGTTGTGGTGGTGTTCATGCTGAAGCTGGAGCTTCTCCCCACGGGAAGGAGGTGGGAGAGGGGCCGATACCAGCCCCGCTCAATGATCTGAGTGCTTTTCAGGGTCGAGGGAGGAACCAGTCTCCATATCCTTCTCAACCAGAAAGCCAATCACCAGTCAACCATGATCACGCTCACTCAGAACTGGAAAACGGCCTTGTGAAACCTACATGCCATCCCTGTCTGCGCTATTCGCCACGGATAAGGGCAGACAAGGTCCAGTTTAAATGTTATTGCTCGATTTCAATCTCTTTAAGCATTTCTAATGATGCCTTGTGAGGATAAAAATCAAGGAGAAAATGAACAAGAAGGCCAGCAAAGAAAGGAAGCCCCAAGATGAAAACGATTTCAATGGTTCTGACAACTTGAAAAAGAAATCATATGTTGAATCAAGGAACAACTCAGTTGCGAGAAAACAGCTCACCCATCTGCTCGAGTTCTTCATTGAGGGACTGCAGCCAGAATATGTCCATGTCGTCCAGGTCGTATCGGCACACGGCCGCCGCCTGCTCCCTGATGTTCACGTAGCCCAGCTCTGAGTCGTCCGGGTTGGAGCAATGGATGTACTTCCGGGGCCGGGTAAATAGAACATCCTTGACCTTATCGGCGATAATCCTAGAAAAGTGACAGACAGACACTGATAAAAATCAACAAATGACAGATGGCAGGCTGTGGCTGAGGGGCCCAAAGGGACTCAGGCCACAGAGTGGGGCTCAATGCTCCCCCTGTCTACCCCGTGGAAATCCCCTGCTCTGCCCGCTGGGAGGAATGGCAGATCCCTTTCTAGGAAGCCAACGGTTCTCCAAATTCCATTTTTCTCATCTCTGAACACTGACTGCCGATGAAATGCCTCCTTTATCCTCATGGCTCCCTGGTCCACAGTACCATTCGTTCTGATAAGATGCTGCATTTTGTGTTCTTGGTGCAATGGCCACCAAGGTTATTTAGAAGGGGAAACTGAGGAAGTGACATTCGCACAGAGGCACAGCCAGATTCCACACCAAAGATATATTTAAGCTCGTGCTTTTCTGCCATGGAGGCAATACGGGATGGTGGTAAAGAGTGTGGCCTGCAGACTCACATAAGCCTGTTTTTTTTTTTTTTCCTGCCACTCACTTATATGGCGATCTTGGGCAATTCATTTCTGCACGGTTCAGTTTCCTTAGCTAAAAAACCAGGGTGATAATCATAAATTATGATAAAATATTATCAAACTTTTAGGGCTCTTATGGTGAGTATATGAAATAAAATATATGAAGTGCTTAGTATAGTGTATAGTAAAAAATAAAGGTTCAATGTCATTGTTCACCACTCCTAGTCAGGTCTCCTTCCATCATCATTTATCCCTATACTCTCTTCTACCTCCCCATACTGCTGTCTATGAATTTATTTATTTAATCTCTTCACCGTTTCCACCCCCACCCCCTCTGACAGCTGTCAGTCTGCTCTCCGTTTATGAGTCTGAATCTATTTTGTTTGTTTATTTTGTTCAATAGATTCTACATATGAGTGAAATCATATGGTGCTTGTCCTTTTCTGACTGGCTTATTCCAGTTAGCGAAATGCTCTTCAGATGATGCATTATAGAATTGTGTACCAGAAACCCATATAATTTTATTAACCAATGCCACCCCAATAAATTAAATAAAAAAATGTCATTGCTATTGCTGTTATATTTTTTCTCTTCACTATTTGTGCAGGTGAGTTTAAGTCAAGAGGCTGTGGACAGACACAAACTTAAGGTATTTCTCAGCCATAAATGACAGTGACTAGAAGTCTGAGCCAGGGCCACAGGATGGGAGTAAAGATTCCTGTTCTTCCATCAACTTCTTCATAAGCCAGAGCAAATCCGTATTTCCCCTTCCCCTTTCTAACGCTGAAGAGCCTAAGGCAAGTAAATCAAGCAAGGGAACTAATAGAAGATTCTTATACCAATGGCCTATTGTACAACTGATGACTTAGGTATGCATGAAGCACCAGAAAACATAACCAGCAGGAAGTCTGAATGATTATTCTCTGGCTATTTTAAAGAACAGAGTGGGCCATTTAAAAAGAAAGAAAGAGCTATGTATGTCATCATGAAATAATAAAAATTGTTCGTCTGGAGCCAGTTTCTTTATTCTAGAGTTACTATATATGTAGGGAGACTCATAAACACAAATGTATTCATATGAAGACATATAAATGTACAGGCCAAGTCCACTCTGTAAACACAGTAAATATTTCCTCCTAAGCATCCTTTCAAAGGCTTATGATTCCAAATAATATAAGTTGAATAAAGGTGGTAACTACACACATTTGTATATGTTAATTTTTCTACCGTATAGAGTTCTTAAAGCCAAAGGGAACAGATATTGGAGGAAAAAAGCAGAACCTCAGAGTATTAATTGAAGCTGAAAATTTGGAAACTGCTGCCAGAGGCCTGCTTCCAACTGAAATCAGCCCAACGGAAAAGGACAAGACCAGCAAAGGAATGCTCCAGAGACTGAGATTAAATATACTGTGAGATTAAATACGCTATGCATTTTTGGTGCATGCCATATGAGGTAATTATAGAATATCTATTTTTTCCCCAAGATTCAGCTTTTTCTAAGAGGCAGAATATTTGATAACTATTCATCTCAATCGTCTCACATTTTATGTGAAATGAGGCAGACGATGTGTTTTAAAATTAAACTGATATGTTGCCGAGACCAGTTTGGCTTAATGGATAGAGCGTCGGCTTGGAGACTGAAGGGTCCCGGGTTCGATTCCGGTCAAGGGCATGTGCCTTGGTTGCGGGCATATCCCCAGTAGGGGGTGTGCAAGAGGCAGTTGATCAATGACTCTCTCTCATCGATGTTTCTGACTCTCTATCTCTCTCCCTTCTTCTCTGTACAAAATCAATAAAATATATATTTTAAAATTAAACTAATACGTTTAGTAAGCTTCTGGAAGAAAACAGGGGAATATCTTTTTGACTTTGGGATAGGCAACAATACTTTAAGACAAAAGCCATTAACCGTGAAGGAAGAAACTGGAAAACCTCTTTTTTTTTTTTTTTTTTTTTTTTTTTTTAAATCAACTATACAGGGTGAAGCAAAGAATACAAGAATAAACTTGGTGTTTTGCGTACTCAAAACTGTAAACCTACTTTTGCCCCATCCTGTATAGAACAAACTTCTACAACTCAATCAGAAAAAAGACAGATAGTCCCATTAAAAACTGGGCAAAAAACTTAATTAGATACTTGACAAATAAAGGCTCTCAACCTCATTAGTTATCACACAAATACAAATGGAAATCAATCACTATTACCCATCGGAATGGCTAGACTGACCAGAAACTGACAATCCCTTGTGCTCATAAGAAGTGGTGCAGACAGACCTCTCACAGGCTGTCCGTGCGAGTGTGACCTGGGACATCACTCTGCTAACCCATTTGGCAGCTGATATGATAGCTGTGCGTATATATATCCTATGACCTAGCAAACCCATTCTTAGGGATATACTTAACAAAAAAGTAAACACGTGTCTATTAAAAGATGAAGAAAATGTCCATATTAGCATCTGTCATAATAGCTGAAAACTGGAAGCAACCCAAATATCCATGAAGAGCAGGATGGGAAAAGAAAATGTGGGACAGTCACACAATGGAACATGACACAGAAGTGGAACTTAGTGATCTACTGCATGCAACAGCATGGATGACTCTCACAGGCACAATGAGGACCAACATGAAGTTCAAAAACTGGCAAAATGATCACCTATGTGCGGGGTCCGTTAGTGGGCAGGAACGGAGGGAGGGTCTAGACTGTTGGTACTGCTCTATTTCTTCATCTAGGTGGCAGTTAAATGAGTGTGTTTAATTCACGGAAAGTCACTGAGTTATACAGTTATACTTTGGTTACTTTTCTGGGTATATATTATACTTCAATGCAGAATTTATCATAATGATAACAAATGATGTTGTCTCGCTCGTCTTTTCATATGTGTATTTTCCTATGTCACTACTAAGGTCTGACTCTGAGAACTGAGTATATGGCAATAAAAAGATTATAGACCAAACCAGTTAACACCAAAGGCAAGGAAATGCGTGGGTAAAAGGTAAAGTTAATACACAGTCACAAGGAGACATTCTTGTATTTATAATGATAGAGGGGAAAGTCTATGAGAATTAGTGACAAAAATATTATTTTGGAATTTAAAAAATAAAACTTTAATACCAAGTAGATGAATATGCTGAAACCCTAACTCCCAGGGTAACTGATTTGGACATGGGGCCTATAAGGAGACAAGGTGAAGTGAAGTTACAAGGGTGGGGACCTAATCTGATAGGGCTGTTGTCCTTATAAGAGGAAGAAAAGAAGAAGAAGAGATAGCAGATGTATCCATCCATCCCTCCCTCCCCCACCTCCACCCTCTCTCTGCGTGCACACAAGGGGAAGGCCATGTGAGGATGCAGAGAGAAGGCAGCTGTCTATCACTGGACACCAAGCCTGGTGGCAACTTGACCTTGGACTTGTTGCCTCCAAACTGGAGTTACATAGTGGTGGTAGTTTCATAACTCTGTGAGTATACCAAAAACCACCACACAATTTAAAAGACTGAATTTTATGGTATGTGAATTCTATATACATTCTCTCTTTATGAAATCAAGCAAGACATTTATAAAAGTCCATGGTGACAAACTTGGAACTTACAGAAGCCCTCCTACCTACTACTTTTCCATTTTGATTTACAATGTCACTCATTAGTTGTAATGTATGTTTACTTACACTAAACTTTTTCAATTAAGTGAAAAAAATATTTTCTTTCCTAACATCTACCCATTTTCCAATTTGCTTCCTTTGTCTTATTCTTCTTATAATAAACTGTGTATTGGAAACCTACTATTTGACTAGTAGGGGTTTTGCAGTTAGGTAGCCTATAGTCACCTCTTATTGTCTTAAAAAAATTATATATATAATTGATTTCAGAGAGGAAGGGAGAGATAGAAACATCAATGATGAGAGAGAAAAACTAATCAGCTGCCTCCTGCATGTCCCCCCACTGGGGATCAAGCTCACAACCCAGGTGGTGCCCTGACCGGTTTGAACTATGACCCCCCTATTCATAGGTCGATGCTCAACCACTAAGCCATGCTGCTGTGTCTTTTCTTATGTGCCATAAATCACATTTTCTTATCTATATACTCCTTTATTTGTAGTTTACAGTTTATATATACATATAATGAGTGTGTATAACATTAGTGGGGTATAAATGACATACGTGAAACTGCATATATTTTAAATGCACCTTTCTACTGCTCCCTATGCGGCCTCCACTGACACCACGGGAGGAGGCAGTACCCTCATTACCACTAGGCATGTGATTTCTGCCCTTTATGAACCTAACATGCACTAGAAATAGATGTACAATGAGATGTGTAATTTCTCATAGTATCCAAGAGGTCCCACCATCCCCTTTATCTGTTGCTATTTCTTTCCTTCCCTCTCTTCCATTGCTCTCTCACTCACTCACTCACTCACTCACTCACTCAAACTTATACCAAGCACTAGTGGCCCTGTGCCCGAATCCATGCGGAAGTAGTTCACTGCCACTTGCCTCAGATGGCCACCCTGCTCACTGCTGCTCACAGCTCTCCACCGCACGTAGCTTGCTGCCCTGCCCTCCTGTAGCTCTCTGTTGCTGATAGCTCGCTGCCCTGCCCTCCTGCTGATTGGTCATTATGTGACAGCATCCTGATCAATTTACATATTACCCTATAGTAAGTATAGATTTTGTTTCAAGCCAGCCTTTCTGCAAAGCACTGGGAACACAGAGATGAGTAAGAAAAAGTGGCTCCCAAACCAGTCATTACTCTTGAGGAGTTGAACTTACTACTTCCTCTGGCAGAGAAGTCCTCTCCCCTTTCCACAAAACCAAAACCTCTTCTGCTCCAACTTTCTTCTCAAGTCTTTGCAAATGAAGGTCATGTGCTTACAGGCAACCCAACTGTTACAGCCACCCCCTTTCATGTGTGTTCGTACATTTTACAAGCTCTCCGTGTTTTGGCCTTCTATTTATAGATGTTATCACTCTAAGGTCCTTCTATGATGAAACAAGTTATCACGGGGTTATGTATTAATAGGGTTATTATGGGGGTATGTAATGAATGCTCTAATAAAGACCAATACATGCTACTGATTATTGAGTCAGACCTGGAAATCCTGGTCTCCAAAATCTTATCACATGTCAGGATTGGACATCAAACAGTTTTATCCTATAAATGGGCACATATTTTATCTGTAAATAAATTACCTGGACTTCAACTACTAACCTATGCTAGCCTGTATACTCTGCCAGTGGTCTGAGTGGACTGGTGAACATCGTATGTGACTTAGTGTTATAAATGTGGAATTAGCCACTCCAAGTCTCTCCCCAAGCAGCATATAGATAAACATAAGAACATTAGTTCCCTAAGTCAAAGATGCAAGCATGCACATACCTGAGGGTTGGCTGCGGGAGTGTGTCCGGATTGGCTGGCACCTGGACTCCCTTCTCCCATTCTTCCTTCCATGTATCAGTAAAGAGGTAATAGCTGTCAGGATCAATGTATTGAGAATCCGACACCTTCATGGCACTGATGAGATCCTTCCGGAACACCTGGAAGAGTGCACACAGACTGAATGAACTAAAAATATTTACTGTTATTTTTTTAAATATATTTTATTGATTTTTTACAGAGAGGAAGGGAGAGAGATAGAGAGCTAGAAACGTCGACAAGAGAGAAACATCGACCAGCTGCCTCTTGCACACCCCCTACTGGGGATGTGCCCACAACCAATGTACATGCCCTTGACCGGAATCGAACCTGGGACCTTTCAGTCCGCAGACCGACGCTCTACCACTGAGCCAAACTGGCTTCGGCTTTACTGTTATTTTTAAAAGACCCACCAACTCTATACTTCAACTTCTAACTTCCTAAATGGCCAGATCAACTCCTATTTGGAAGAGGTTTGAAGCATTGACCGGAGCCAGTTTGCTCTGGATTTAATGAAGAGTAAACAAAGGGTTCCTTTCTGAATTATTTTCTTGGGTTCCTTGAATTTAAATGAACAATACAGGTTAATCTAAATAAAACAGTTTATATAAAACAAACCATAACTCTCTAAAGTTAAGCAACAAGTATCCCTCTGATAACTTACAATTTTTTATTTAGCCATTAGCGTCCTTTTTTTATTTATTCAGAAATAATTTTAGACTCACAGAAAAGTTACAAAAATAGTACAAAGCTCCCATACCCCCTTCACATAGTCTCTTTTAATGTTAACACCATATACAACAAGCATATAATTACCTAAACTAGAAAACCCACGTTGTTACAACACTATTAATCTACAGACCTGATTAAAATTTTACTAATCCCACTTCCCCCATGTTCTCCTGTTCCAGAATTCAACCAGGATCCCACATTGCAATTAGTTGTTATGTTTCCTTAGTATCCTCCAATTTGTGACAGTTTCTCAGTCCTTCCGACCTTGGCTTTTGAAGAATTCTGGTCATGTATTTAATAGAATGTCCCTACAATTTGGGTTTGTGTGATGTTCTCCTGTGATTAGATTGAGGAAACAGAGAGATTGGCTATAGTTCATTTTCTGCGTCCTAAGCACAACGAGGTACTGACAATAAGGGAATAAGGATCCAGCTCAACTCTGATGTACTATTGTCCTCTAGTTGAAAGGGCCCCCAGGTGACTAAGGGGCACAGAGATGTTCACCAGCCTGGAAACGTGACTTCAGTGACGGTGGCACCTAAACTTTGTGATTTTTGCCTTTTCAACAACAGAAAGGGAAGTCTGGCTGAGTTCTTAAGTATGCCATTAGTCCTGCAACAACGTCAGCGATGAGCCCCAGTTAACATCTAAGCAACAAGGAAATACAATTTCACAGAAAAGCAAGCATACGCTGGTCCAAACCTCACCTACTAATTTCTCATTCTGAAAAAAAAGAAAGAAAGAAAGAAAGAAAGAAAGAAAGAAAGAAAGAAAGAAAGAAAGAAAGAAAGAAAGAAAGAAAGAAAGAAAGAAACGACTTGCAGGCTGAAGACAAATGTGCCCATGTTTCTAGAAGATCAAAGGGGGAGATGCTATTGAGCGAACATTTTAGCCTTTAATGCTAATAAAGGTTCTCTGGGGAGAAACACTGTCCAGACCGTGTGTAACATGAAAGTAGAGGCACAGAGCATTTCCAAAGAAGCAATTAAATCTCAGCTGGTACAGTTCTATTCAAACTGACATTTCACAGAGTATAGGATGAACTAGTATATAATCAAATGATGCCATTTAAATGAATGAGGACTCATTCCATTTGCTACTTTCCAGGGATGACTCTGCAAATGCTTATTGGTTCCACTTAGGGAAGAATGTCTGCATCTGGCTCTGGAGCCATATATGGCCCTGAGATCATCTGATCTGATCCTGCCAAGGCATTAGGGGTGAGTTAATTAAATGATTGACGAAATATAGCAGGCTAATTTTTAAGCTGATAATTTTGTATGGCCTGCGAATCTATATATATAAAATGCTAAGTGTCTAACGGTCGGGCCGGTTGCTATGACATGCACTGACCACCAGGGGGCAGATACTCAACACAGGAGCTGCCATGATGTGCACTGGCCATTTACAAAGAAATGGCACAGTGGTCCTGGCGCCCACAAAGCAACACTTGGCTTCCCCCAAGTGGGACACAGGCCCTACCACCACCTTGGAGTGACACCCCACCAAATCATAGCCTACTATGCCAGGACACCATGGTGCAAAATGCAGCAAACAGCCCAACCCAGCAACGACTGCTGTGGATGCCAGGTAATGCTGTCATGTAGCAATGCCTGGCTTCCTCTCTCTAGAGACTAGCCTCATTGCAGTTTCTTCTTGACCCAACTAAAAAGAAGTAAGAAATGGTGGACCTTGCAAATGACTTCAGGTTTTCTCACTGTGCAGAATATAGTCAAACACTGCTGCAGTTCAACATTTTACCCTTTGTTCTCCCTGTGTGATCTACAATAATAAATGTCCTTCGTGTTTTTATTTACTGCTGTGTTGCTGACAATTACCTGAAAGAGAAGTTGGGATGCTTCACCAGGCTGGAAAAAGTTTAGCCAAATCAGAAAGCAGGTCTAATTAAGCAAGTTTATTCTATATATATAAAAGGCTAAGTTGACTCGCACATGTGCAATACATCTAAAGCTCTCGAAAACGCTTCACAGATATTTGGTTAAAGTGTGAAATGTTTGACTATACAGCAAGCTGGTGCCAAACGCACGTGTGTGTTTCAATCTGCTATTGTCGATCGTGAATTTGGTTGACACTTCTATTATAGAGAAAGGGCGAATAGTAATATTAAAATATTTCTTCTAATTAGTTTCCTTTCCATGTGCACAAATTTGTGCCCTGGGCCACTAGTGATGCTATAAATATCCAAATGACCCTTGGCAGATAAAAGGTTTCCCACTTTTAATTTAGAAGTAATAATATGACCTGAGCAAAGTAAAGAACACCGACCTTAAACATGGGTGGCCAGGTGGCAACAATATGACCTTCTTTTTCTTCTTCTTTTTAAAAAAATATATTTTATTGATTTTTAACAGAGAGGAAGAGAGAGGGATAGAGAGTTAGAAACATCGATGAGAGAGAATCATCGATCAGCTGCCTCTTGCACACCCCCTACCGGGGATGTGCCCGCAACTCAGGTACATGCCCTTGACTGGAATCGAACCTGGGACCTTTCAGTCCGCAGGCCAATACTCTATCCACTGAGCCAAACCGGTTTCAGCAACAATATGACCTTCTTAACCAAGAATCCAAGCCAATTAAAGTTAATTGGGTGCTCCGCAGGGAGAAAATTAAGTCTACAGACAACAAAAACTGGTGATTTAATACATAATGCTTTGTATTAGGGGGTAAGAGAAGATCATAGACATAGCCATTTAACATGTTTTGCACAGAGCTCGGGTGGCTAGTGGAAAAAAGAGAATCAACCATTTTGCTGAACACTCTAAACTAAGGTGACCAGACGTCCCCAAAATCTAATGACTATGTTAATCTTTCCCTTCTGCCTTTAGAGGGGAAAAAGCAGACTTATAAGCCTGATTTCAATTTCATAAGCTGACCAGATTAAATAGCACCAAATCCAAGGCATCTTTACACAGGCAGAGTCTGTCTTGTCTTACTATAGACGTCAAATATCTCAAGCATGACGCAGAACATAACATGTTAAAGAGGAGATAGGAATGTGAGCTCAGAACTCAGGCAGATAATCTTCAAAGTGATGTGAAATATATACAAGATGGGGCAAAAGTAGACTTATAGTTGCTCATATAAAATAATACAATAGCCGAAACTGGTTTGGCTCAGTGGATAGAGCGTCAGCCTGCGGACTGAAGGGTCCCAAGTTCGATTCCGGACAAGGGCATGTACCTTGGTTGTGGGCACATCCCCAGTAGGGGACGTGCAAGAGGCAGCTGATCGATGACTCTCTCTTATCGATGTTTCTAACTCTATCTCTCTCCCTTCCTCTCTGTAAAAAATCAATAAAATGTATATAAAAAATAAAATAATACAATAAGCAATAATGTAAGAATAAATTGTGTTTTGCGTATTCACAGCTGTACACTACTTTTGCCCCAACCCTGTATTCGTTAGACTGGTTCCATGGACCTGCTTCTGATAAGAAAAGGTATTTTTTAAATACATTTTATTGATTTTTTACAGAGAGGAAGAGAGAGAGATAGAGAGTTAGAAACATCGATGAGAGAGAATCATCTATCAGCTGCCTCTTGCACACCCCCTACTGGGGATGTGCCCACAACCAAGGTACATGCCCTTGACCGGAATCGAACCTGGGACCTTTCAGTCCACAGACCAACGCTCTATCCACTGAGCGAAACCGGTTTCGGCAGAAGAGGTATTTTTTAGATTTAAAAAATAAATATAGCTCGGCTGGGGTCACTCAGTGGTTGAGTGTTAACCTGTGAACCAGGAAGTCACTGTTTGATTCCGGGTAGGGGCACATGTCCAGGTTGTGGGCTCGACCCTCTGAAGGGGACAATAATGAACAACATAAACAAAAACAGACCCGGAGATAGGACGGCATCGATCAGACTGTCAAGCCTCAGAGGGAAAGGAGGGAGGGTGGGGGAAAGGAAGAGAGATCAAGCAAAGGACTTGTATGCATGAATATAAGCCTAACTAGTGGTCACGCACAACAGGGGGGTGGGACATGCATGGGGAGGGGTTTGGATGGGAATGGGGGGATGAGGACAAGTATCTGATACCTTAGTCAGTACAGAAATTAAAGAAAAAGAACATATCCTTGAGTGAGGATTTTAAAAAATCTTTATGGAAAGGAAAATGGGCCCAGCTGGTATGGCTCAGTGGTTGAGCATCAACCTATGAACCAGGTCTCAGGTTTGATTCCAGGTCAGGGCACAGGCCCGGGTTGCGAGCTCAATCCCTAGGGTGGGGTGTGCAGGAGGCAGCCGATCCATGATTATCATTTTTTATGTTTCTCTCTCTCTCCCTCTCCTTTCCTCTCTGAAATCAATAAAGATATATTAAAAAAATAAAGGTAAATGGGTCCCAGGACAGATGACCTGAATTTGTCTAC